TGTGTGTGTGTGTGTGTGTGTGTGTGTGTGTGTGTGTGGGCGTATATACACACTCTTTTCCAGCAGCTTAAGCTCCTCCGAAGCAGAAAGTGCTGGTGCAGTTGGTCAGCAGAAGCTTCTTTTGCAGACAGGGTCTCTCTTGCTGATTGCTGCCAGCCTAGTGTGCAGCGCTTCAGGAGGAGGAGATTGTGATGACTCTCGGCCAGCTGGCGGGGATTGAAAAGAAAAGTGGAGAAACTCAATCACATGTGCCAGGTAGAAATAATGGAGTGGACTGAAATGATGAAGTGCCCAGAGGGGTTTTTATCTCGCTGTGAAGCATGTATTCAGAGGATTTTCTGCATTTCCTTATGATGTTGTGACAAAGGAGGGGAACATTTGGAATATGAATTGACAATGATGTTGAGGGAATTCAGTGAGGAAGTTGTTTTCAGCTTGTGTGGACATTTTCACTTTGTTTGAGTGTGTGTCTTTGTCTTTATTGTTCATTCCAAGAGCATAAGTGTTGTTGAATGGAGGATATCTGTGTGTTTGTGTCTTTGCTGTTGGCTTGCTGTGTTTAATTTAGCTGCCAAGTGAGTATTTTTACCAAAAACAGTTTGCTCATTGCTCACAATCATCAGACTATTAAAGGTGTTGGAGTGGGTTGCCTGTGGATACACAGCGTGTGGTTTGTGTTACCTCATAATAATAATAATAATAATAATAATAATAATAAACCTTCTATAGCACCTCTGAAAATCAAAGTGCTTCACAATCAGGGAAGGTACGGCACCAACAGATGGATAATTCTAAGGTGGAATAATCGTCATGGAACAAATAAAAACACATATATCAACCAAAGTTAACAAGTCTCCAAACCATGTGGATTTGTTATATGTAGTAGAATAGAAACATGGTGGAAGGCCTCATCCACTATTTCCTGATTTTCATATATTTATGCTTATGCACAAACACACCGCAGCAAATTCCTTGTATGTTTGAAGCTATTTGGAATTAAACCCTTGATTGCGATTGGGAAGGAGCGGTACGCAGTGACAGCAGGAGAGCTGCTGCTGCTCTGTCCATAATAAGCAGCTGATACCATTCCGCCTCTTGCAAATTGTCTGTGTTTAACAAACGCTGATGTTTTGCCTGACGTTGGGGGTCAATGTCTACACTTAACCTGACTCCTCTGCTCGGAGAGAAACTGTAAATGTTGTAAAATGTGTAGTGGAGGCTCACACTGAGCTGAAGCCAAACAACGATCATCTGAAATGACTTTGGCCGACATTATAACAAGACTTTCATGCACGTACGACCGGTGATTTACCTGTGTGTTGACTAGTTGGAGCTGAATGAGGCGTTTCCACGGCGCCAGGCCTCTCCGTAGCAACAAGGTTCTTTGGTAGTGTTGACGGGCGAGTTTCAGGAGCTCTTGCTGCCTTTTCACTTGCCTCTGTTTTTCCTCTTCCCTCTGCAAACACACACACACACACAGTGACATTTAATATTCTGTAATGTGTCACAATGTGTCCTGTTAACTCACTAACTTATAAATTTGAGTCAGAATACAAGAAGCAGTCATCTCCTCAGCTGCACCGAAGAGACGGCTGCTTCACGTATTTTGGCTCATAACGTTGTGAACATCCATGAAATATGTATCACGTCTCACCTCTCTTTCCAGCCTCTTCTCCTCTTTCCTCTTTTCTGCTGCTCTGTGTTTTTCCTCCTCCTCCTCCCTCTGTCTCTGCTCCTCAGCTACTTTCATCTCAGCCTGGAACCGTTGGATTCTTTTATTAATTTCTTTTCCTCCTAACAAGCCGTCAGGCAATTACAACTTGCTACGATGTTACAAAGCACTTCCCGATCTCTCACCATCTTCTCCTCTTCCTTCTTTCTCTTGAGCTCCTCGATTTCCTTCCTTCGTTCTGCACGTTGCTGGGCCCGGGCCTCCATGGCTGAGGGAGATGATTGAGTTTGTTATTCTTTATTTAAAAAATATGACTGAATATGAATGTGGCTTTTTTTTTTATACATTATGACACAAAAACTTAATCAGTGCCAGTTTTCAACGTCTTAACACAAAATGTTTTTTCAAGTTAGACCGAGCAAGATGATACAATATGACAATATTCCATCCATCTGTATCAAATTCCTCCTGTGTGTAATATACCAACAAGCTTAGTCACCGAATTTAAAAATGTTCAAGTTTTGAAATGACAATCATCACCACATATTACTGTGTTACAGCAGTTTTGTAGGGAAAGAGAGGATACGTGTGTAAATGTATGTTTCACATTTAATATTCTCAGCGTGTAGGTGGATGTTGTAACATTAGTGCTACTGTTGACGTACTTCTCTACACATCTGTCTACAGGCTATTATGTCTGCAGTTGATCTCCAGACGCGTGACTCAAGGTCAGGCAATTTCTGCTATAAGAGTCTCTTTGTGTTTCTGTGTATATTGTATGGGAGTCTGTGTGTTGAGCTCGAATAGTGTAGGACTGACCCGTGATGATTGGATGAGGGCATGTCTGGCGTGTGACAGCTTTCCTCGGAGGCGTCCACTGGCTGTCGGGCTCTGTGGAAACTCTCTGTTCCCTGCAACAGTGACGATCACAGCCAGAGGTTAGAGAAACAAAGAGCCGCCACAAACCTGTGCATTCACATGTTTCTGATCCTTGCCCGGGAAATATTATTCAGACAACATGCATCACATCATGAACATTTCAAAAATAAGATATGAACCACAGACTGGACATAAAGATGGATGACATGAAGTGAAAAAATGCCTCCTCCTTATAAGCAAATGGGACACGGGCCAATCTAAAATGTCCATGTCAAACAAATTGCAGGTAGTTTGTTCATGTGCTTATATTTCTGGTGAGTTTGGTTTTAGTTTGTTATTTGATGCTATAAAACAGGTTTAATGACATCATTCAAAACCCTCTTTATTGGTCGAGTGTGCGGACCTTGCTTCATCCCCCGATTGCTACTGTGCAGACTCCAAATGTGCAAGATAGCAGTGTTCATATTTGGTATATTTTGGCTTCATTACTGGATAGTGTGAGGAAGAAGGGACATGTCGTCCATCTTTATATACAGTCGATGGGTTGTACAGGCTTCTTGGAAAGTGTATTTCATCTTTTGCTCATCTGTTCTCTTTAAATTCTCCTCTAACTGATCACCTTCTTTGTTTCTACTCCTGTGTGATTTGTATTTAATGAGGAAAAGCTAATAACGGATAAAGGTTACAACTTTCCGCCCCCATGCTCGGCCAATCAAGAGTCCGCGCACACACAAAAACCTGCCAACTTGTTGTGCCATTAGTCTCCACTCTGGAGAGAAAAGGGAGTGAACCTAAAGACTATTCATCATCTTCAGAGAGTTTCAGAGCTAATAGCACATTTGAGGGTATGTGGAGTTAGAGAGACTGTCTAACTTACTGTCAGGGGGGCTGTGGAGAGAAAGGATGGAATAGGAGACTAGGCGTCATACTGTACAGGATAACACACAGTATACATACAGTATATACACACTATTCAACTGATTTAGTAATCCTATACAGCAGCAAAGACACTATAATTCGATAAAATAACTAAGATTAATGGCTGTTGTCTCCACTAACCAGGGCCGTTTCAGTCTACATACATTTTCTTCAGACTAATATGAGGTCACTGTGACCTTTGACCACTGGAATCTTATCAGTTCGTCTTTGAGTCCAAGTGTCGACTGATCAATATATAAGAACTTCCCTAAAGGCAGACTTGAGATATTATGTTGAAAAGTGTAAAAACCTGTTTAGTGTGGCTATCAGTTAATCCAGGAGTCTGAGGGAACATTTGTGAATTTGACAGGATTCTTTCAAGGCATTTTTAAGATATCATGTTCTCAAGGCAAAAAAAAGTTCACAGTGAATTTTGACCACAAAATTCACTCAAGTTCATTTGAGGAAATTCCCTCAAGGTGCTAGTGAGATATCGTGTTCAAAGGAATGCGACAGAGGGACGGACAACCCATGAAGATAATGCCTGACCGCTGGCTGTCGACAGCCTGGAGCCATATAAATGTTCAATCAATAATTCAGTCCAGGGTTTCTTTTACTGATTATGCAAACAATATATAAACAATGTTGTTTAATGAAGTTTTTGTTTCTGTTGTTGCACTGCTGCGACGTTGGTGCAGATTCTGATTATTATTATTATAATGAATAATTTCTTTAGGTAAATGAGAAATTTTAAATGAATGCTAATTTTGATGTGGTCTATTATTTTAATGATTCTACCTGGAGGCCAAAAATTAATTAGGACTGTAGAGTGATACAAACTGAAGCCTCATTTTAAACACTGTTCCACAGTGTTTTTTCAAACACATCAGCAAATGAAACTGACTAAAAAATCCATACAAATTTAAAATATTTTAACTTCGCATTAGTCTACAGCACTGGAAATCTCAAACAGGACATGCTATGCCACTAAAATTAAAATTATTGTCAACTATATCAATTTTTCATATTGTCTTCCTACATGGATGGTGAGTCTATAAAATGCAAGGACAATTTGACATATAACATCTGGAGCTAATGGAGCCTGAGGTGACAACTGCTGTTTCCAAGTTACACAATTAATTCTGCAAATTACTGTTAACGTTCAGGTGACTGCACAGTGATGCAAAGTGAGTTAATGACCTCTGCCAAGGAGGTTAGGTTTTATTCTGCATTTGATTGTTAGTCTGGTAGATTACACAACGACTTCAGAGTGGATTACCGTAGAACTTGGTGGAAGAATGGGATACATGTCAGGAAAGAACTCTCTTTTTGACATTTTCACCAATTTTCCAGGGAATAACTCGTGTATCAGGCATATTTAGGGGATAGCTATTAATAAGTGTGAACAAGCTGTTGCAGCCTGATTGTGACTGTGAGGCCTCTCTGAGTGTGATTGTGATTAGCCCACAGACATCTTCAGTGCCTTTCACATTACCTCTGCTCTGTGTGCTCAGAGTCACGGCTCTTTAGTCTGGAGCCTCTTCGCTTTGATGTTTGTGAGATCTGTGCAGTTTTCTCCACTTCCTCCTCCAAACCCTTCACGCTCTGCACCTCCTTCAGCCGTGCAATTTGCTCTTGCTGCACTTTCAGCAGCCTGCGTTGTTGTGCGATGATCTGCTGCTGGACTGCGTGTCTGTTCTCAAACCTGTCGCTAGGTGACGTGGTGCTTTTTGAGGAGGCGAAGCCGCCACTGACTCCTCGCTGCAGCGCGTCCTGGAGTTCAGCAGCAGTTGGAGCTGCATGCCTTCGGGTCACCTGCCATGGCTGAGTGGGCTCTGCCACGGTTCCCGCAGGCATCTTATCCTGATGTAGTGCAGAGGCTTTGTGGGCCAAAGAGCCTGACCTGTGGTGATTCTCCTACAGCGAATGTAATAGAACAGAGGAGAAGTTGTTAAATTATAGATGACGGAATCAAACACCGCCTTTAGGCCCAGGTCTATAAAAAGCTTTTGAGGGATTGTACAGAAACAGCACAAAGCTCCTATGTATCTCTATATACGGATATATAAGGAAAGTATGTTGTCCTTATGGCCCCTTCTACCATATACTCCTGCAGCTCCAACTTCATCTCCCGCTCTGCTTCCTCTGTCCCTCGAGCTCTGTTCCACTGTCCTACACCTCTCATTTCTCTGTTTCCCTTCTCCTCCTGCTCGCTCTCCCTAGAGATGTGAATATTTCAGCAGGGAAACTTTTTCTCCCTGGCTGAAGCGAACAAGAAAGGTTCAGTTCATCTCATGCAAAAAGAAAAGAATTGGAAGAGAACTTTTTTTATTGCTTGTTTATTGCCTCAGTGATGAAGCCTTTGACACTTACTGCTGAGAACGGACCTAATGTTTTAGTCATGATTCCACTCAGTGTCATATCTGAGCCACTTTTAAATTGTATTTGCAGATGTGTGAGTGCATCTGTCACCTTCTTCTTGGTCTCTGGTTGATTCGACGCCACGGGTGAGGCCATTATTGGTCGATAAGGGGGGGCTCCTGCAGCCGTGAGTTTGCCTGTTGATGCAGCGCTGATTAAAGCGGCCATTTTTCGGCGGGTTTCCTGCTGCTGGGCCAAAAGCTCTCGTTGTTCCCTTTCCTTCCGACACCATAGCCGCCACTCGTTCACACAATGTTGCAGCAGCCGCCTTCGGTCACTCTCCACAGCCAGCTGGCATTGTCTGGAGGAGGAAACAGATGGGATTTTATATTAAAACATCAATTTTTGTTTAGTAAAGGTATTTATTTTGTTTTATTTATCAGTGAGTGAACTGAAGCGATAAATGTCACAATTTATATTCTAATTTAGAAAAATAGGAGGTAATTGACACGTAATTTGTGATAAAGATAAACATTTATTACCTTCGCAAAGGAGGTTATGTTTTGTAAGTTGGTTTGTTTGTTGATTTCTGTGAAACTTGGTGGATGGATGAGACAGAGGCCGAGAAAGAACACACTGAATTTGGCAGAGATCCGGATAAATGAGTGTATCAAGGAATTGGGGACTTTTTTTTACTGATTTCCGAGGGAATACCACATGGATCTTGATGAGAAAAATGAGGTATGTTCAGGGGACTGATATTAATGATTGTGCAGTTTGGTGCAGCTTGATTGATTTTAAGGAGACTGAGAGCCCCGGCGGAGGTATGCACTCTACCAACCTAGTTTTCTTTGATTCTTGCCTGTTTTCAGTCCGTAGCTTCTCCTCCGTTCTCGCCACTTCTCGCTGCTTCTGCTCTGCCCACACCACTGTCCGCCACGCTCGCCATGCTCTTAGCTTCCTCCTCCAGTCAGAGAGGGCCCTGGCCTTATCCATACGAAGCCTTCGGTCCAAAACGACTGAATACCATTCAGAAAAATGCCTCTGCAAACACTTGATCAAACATGCACCTTGAGCATTGTTTCCTACACATTTCCTGCACCACAAACAAAACAGACCCACATCCACACAATACTGGTACCAACCTTAAGGTTGCTCAAGTGAAGCATGGTTTGAATGTTCTGTTCTCTGTACAGTGGCTCTGCGTCCTGCTGCTGCTGTTTTGTGGAATGGGTTGGAGCTGGCTGGATGTTACTGGCCGACCTCTGACCTTCCATTCTCTCTCTCTCCCTGTGGAATAAACAAACAACCGCAACTGAATCTACCACAGCCCCGAGATGAACAACACATATCCCCAAAGATTACTGAGAAATAGTATGAATAAAAACTTTATATTACAACTCAATGATTCACCAAATAATCATAGTAATCACCACATAAGAAATAAAACAGACTCTCTCCTCCATCCAGTTTGATAAGATTCACTAATGTTTCTCCGCAACTGTGCAAGAAACACCTATTTGGTATTTAAAAATTATAACTCTAACTCCCTTTAAACTAAGTTACGAATTCAGCATTTTAGGGCCATAATATAAAAATAGTAATTTATCATCAACACCATAATGACTACTCAAAAATAAGGAGGACTAGTGACGTTTAAACTAACTTTAGGATATTATCAGGCAATTAATCTATTTTTATTTCACACTTGATATATCAAGCTCACATTTTTCATTTGCCCAATATTTGCAAAATACATCAGCATGTTAGCATTGTCCTTGTGATCGTGTTAGCATGCGAACAAGGCTGTATGTTTGAGAATAGTTTTGTTCGTATGATATCTTCATATCAGTTTGTATTGAGTAGAGAAATCAGTCAGGAAACTTGGGGTAATTTTAGATAACGGGTTGTTGTAACCACGTCAGCAGAGGGCTGGTGGTTGCTCTGGAGACCGTACCTCTGTCGAATCAGTGGTTCCGGGCCTTTCCTCTCCTCCATCTGACGCCGCAGTCGCACCATCTCCTGTTGCACCATCTCTTCCTGTCTGCGCGCCTCCTGCTTCTTCCTCACCTCCTCCTCTCGCTCCCTCCTCTTTGCCTCCTCTCTTGCTCCCCGCTGATTCTCTCTCTCTCTCTGCTGCCTCTGCCTCTCTGCGTCACGCCGGGCCCTGTTCTCTCGCACCTTCAGTGCCAATCAGTGGCAATTAGTGCAAATGAGAACACAATGGTGGGTCCCCAAAGTTCCAGCTGATTCGGTCATGGTGACATTTCTCCAACCCACAGCATTAGTCATCTCAACTTTCAGAATTTGAGCCTCACATACCTGCTCGTGTCGCGCTTCCATGGTGACGAGCGGGTCCCTGAACTTCTTCCTTGATTGTCCGACATCCAGCACCAGTTCCTCCATCATCCCACTGTCTAAAACCTCCTGCTCCATCAGGCCTTGTAGGAAGCTTTTAACAGAGCAGTAGTCCTCTTCCTCAGTCAGGCAGTTGTAGAGATCTAAGAATTTTGCACAAGTGAGGAGTTTTAAATGACTGTACGAGTGAACGTGAGATCATCTGTATGCAACGCAGTTTTTCTGAATGATCTGGATAACAGTAAAGAGCCACAGGTTATCTGTTATCTGTAACAGTTTCATTCTTACCGTCGAAGTTGTCATAGTTCGGGGCAGTAGGTTGAGAACAAGCTTGTGCAGTGGGGCATCTCCTCTCAGGGGAGCACATCAGGTCATCTTCCTCCTCCAGCTCCAACCGCAGCTTACTGCTCAGCCAATCACTAAGAAGAACCTGAGCTGCGAGAAGCAACAACCTTAATGTCTTGTCCTGCTGCTGCACCAGGTCACCTCTTAGCTTCATAGGGAAAGAACTCCTCTATGGACAGCTCTGTTTATTTTTGAACTGGCTGACTTACCTTCATTATATGCGTCATCGTGATCTTTTAACTGGTCAGAGCTTTGCAGTGGAACAGCTCGGCTGCTGCTTCCTGACTGAGGTGTCTTGTGGGAGAAGACTTCAGACACAGCAAACTCAGAGGCCATCTCCACCCGCTGAGGGTGAGGAAATGGACAAACAGCAAAACATATTATGTTTACAATGATAAAAAAAACATGCATCATGAAAAATACACATAAAGACGTGGCTGAAAGGGTTGGTGCCCTGACAATAATGCTGCATTCTCCTGCAGTGAAAAGAATGAATATATTCTATAATGGCCTGAAAAATATTAATAGAGATGCTTGGAAGTAAGAAACATTAGGAGATTACCTTGTAATGTTTCAGGAATATTGTCTTCATTTATTATTTGTCTTTTCAATGTTATAATCACTCATTCAGTCTATTTCAATGGAGAAAATTTGTCATTGTGCTGTTTGGTATCTTTGTGTGCACCTTGCTGAATGTGGACAGGGGAAAGAAAAGAAGAACATTTCCTGAGGAGTTAAGGAAGATAATATTCAACACGCATGTATTAATGCTAAATCTAAAAACGCTATTAGATCATCTTCCACATGACCACAGTTGCTTATATTCTATAGAACCTCTCTGGATGTGGCTCCAAGAGGAAAACAGACCCACGATTAAACAGGATGAATGGTAGAAAAATAAATGTGGGTCTTGAAATAACTTATAGATTTTGCCATGAAAATCAAACTATTATATTTCAATTTGCAGCCCAGAATGACTTAATCCTATGTGTCCGTTTTGTTAAATATATGTTATAGTGAATGGTGGATAGTTTGGTCGGTTTCTCAGGATACCAACACTTAAAGCCATGTCTGTACACAGCTGCCCTCACCTTCCTCCACTGATCAATATCACCATTCTTCACATGCACCTGTTATTGAGAGAAAATAATTAATTCAGGTGAGTTGACACTGTTAGTAAGTGAGAGCAGGGGGCTTGTAGAGCTGCTGCTCTAATGGTCACCTTTGTGCTTGCTCGAAATCGCCTTGAAAAGCTCAAAGAGACCTTGAACAGCAGGTGAAGATGTGCAAATGTGACGACTGAGCCAATTTCTGATGTCTGCGGATTATTTCTCTCAGAAAGCTTAGCTGCGGCTAGCAGATTACTTCAAAACTCATTTCCCAGACGGTGCTTTACTAGCTATTTCTGTCTCAGGCTGCAGTGATGTGAGGATCCGAGAGAGGCCTGCTGTGTGACATTTCTAAAGTGGTCTCTGAACCAAGCCACATAGTATTAACACGGAAGTGCTTCTTCCTCATTTATAAATCCAACAGGGCACTTTGTACAATTATGATCCAGGGGATGTGATAATCCAGAAAAGTAAAGAGACTGAAAACATAATTAAAGTTTCCCCTTTAGATTAGAGGGAGAGTGGAGGTGACGATCTTGAGTGGACACATGTTAACATCTGTAATGACTTTATGAAGAAAAGTAAACTTACCTTGTCTGCAGATGTTTTGCTCCTGTTGAGGCTCCTCCACTTGAACAGGTGAGGATTGTGACCTGGGAAACTCATCATCTGGTTCGTTATAGACTTTTACCTCCGCTGTAATGTACCCCATGAAACCATTACTATATATATTTCTAAATATCACCACCCGAATACTGTGAATATTAAAACCAAATACTTTAAATGTGGAACCATGTATCGACTAAAAGTCTCTCGGAAGTTACAACAAAGAGTCCTGACGAAACACAAGGGATGTATTCACAACTGCCGGAGCGTTTCCCGCATTAGTTTCTGGGTAATGGAGTAAATTAGCGTCCTTCCTTCAATAACTATGCGACAAACGGAACATCGCAGGACTACATCTCCCATCAGACGCGTGTTGGTAACTATAGCAACAGTGTTCGCCTCCACAAACAAGCCAAACACTGAGATAAACGGAGATAAAAACCAAAGAAGGATTAAAATGATGTAATGGAAACTGTTTTTAATGTGTAAGTGTGTCGAATAACCATCTATAGTGTCATATACTCATATTCATTCATTTTTATTTACGTCGAACATGTAAATAAAAAAATTATACAAACAAGTGATAAAAAATAAACTGAAATAAGTATTGTTTACAAACAGAGATGAGGAAATAAACTCTTAGTGATTTCATCTACACATTTGAAAAGGAGTGAGTAATAAGTACAAACTTATTTAATATCACCCCCTGTTTATAAATCATTAATTATGAATCATCTTATACTTAACTAGCTTCCTATATATCTATAAATATGTGATATACCTTGTATACAATGTATACAATTATAATTAATAATAATAAATACAACATAAAGAATGAAAATAAGGCTAAACATGGAGTCACGTACATACAAATAAATCAATGACAAAAAAAGAATCAACAACATAAAAATATAAAATTAGAAGAGAAAAAAAGATAAAGGATAAAGATTAGATTCATTAAACATTTATAAATATATTCATTTTTGTTTTTACTGCTTTTGATTTTGTATGGAAGTTTTCAAAGTACCGCTGAGCCCAGTGATGACGACATCATTCCGCGACTTGTAGTTCCTGTCACGCTGAGTTTGGATGGTGAGCTAAATAAATTCACTGCTGACTTTTAAATGTGTTTAACTAAAGTATAATCGTGAATATGTAGTTTTTATTGTTTCGTTTTCACGGCGAGAGCTTCCATAAAGTCTGAACACGTAAGCGGAAGGCTAGTTAGCTTCGTGGCTAATTCACGTGTTCTAAAACCCGCGCTTGTAGCTAACGTTAGCTCACTGCTATCATCGCCATTCACACGACGTAACGATTATAAAAGACTTCCAGACATTGTGGTGCAGTTATTTAGTGACCGGGTCGGACTGCTCGGAGCAGCGGGATGAAGCTTGAGCTATCCCGGCTGGTTCAGGGAGGAGGTCGGCTGGGTGTCCTGAAGGGGCTCGGCAGGACGAAGCAGGTCTGCCTGGAGGTCCCGGGGTGTCTCCTGTACACACACTTGGGTACAGTCCCCCACCTCACCCAGGACACACTGCAGACCCTGAGCAACCTGCCCTCTGTCACCCAGGTCTCCCTGTCCAACATGTGAGTTCAACCCTGTCTACACACACACACACACACACACACACACACACACACACACACACACACACACACTGGAGCCACTGTGAGATCTAACCTGCATCTCCATCACTTCCTTCTGCAGAGCAGAGCACCAGGAGGTGTTGGAGGAGTTTAAGGATGGATTCAGGAAGTTTGCAGGTACCTCAGCTCAGTCACATGTTTAATTCATCTTTTCTCTCTTTAGACAGTAATCAGGAGAAAACATAAGAGGAGAGCGGTCCAGCACCACTGATTAGACACAAATGGTGATGGCATTCAGTCCTGTTGCCATGTGTTCAGTATTGATTTTAGCTGGAAATCATGAAGGCTTGTATTGTAACATAGCATAGCTTCACTTTAAATGCATCACACTACATGGGGAACACAACACTGAACCACATATGGGGACAGATTATATTCAATGCACAATTCAGTGTTTCTGTACAGTCTAGAAAAGTCTCAATGTCAGTAATCTGAATGTAAGGCCTTAAATGGTCTAAAATGCTGATCAACCCACTTTTTTGTTATGATTGAAAGTTCCTGCCTTCTTCACCTCTTGACAATAGAAGACACATGCAGTGTTTTTGTTAAAATGTTTGTTTAAAACAGCCAAACCTTATATCAGATAAGAATCTGTATGAGCAGACATGTCAAGATGTGATATTTTTGTTATTAAGAAAATGCCCAACAGCAGTTTGTGATTACACCCTACCACATGACACTCTAAAAATGTACAGGTTTTCATGCTTCTAATCATTAAAACGTTGACAACTCCTGAAATTTTTTTTTGTGTGTAAATATATTTGTGGTCTTCTCTTTGTTCCTTTAATTCAATGGTCATTGTGTATCTGCTGAAAACAATTACAGTTGTACTGTGCTTTGTTCAGACTCTAATTGTCCTTTGACTGAAGTACCTTTGGTAATCATAGCTCAAGTAAAGTGTGATTGGAGCAATTCTTCCCTAAAGCAAAGATAATGATGCTGTAGATGAGTCAAAGGAAAAAACCAATACCAATAATTGGTGCAATATTACTTTCATCAATAGCTGTAGAGCCTGTGTACATTTTCTGCTAAGATGGTTTTATTTATATGATGCTATTAAAATGGGCAGACATGTAATGATTGACTCATGATTGGTCGAGGGCTTGTATTGCCAGGACCTGGCTATCATGACTACATCTCTTTTATTCTATAGCACAAACTCTTGCTCCAAATGTCGCCTTCATATCTGTAAAGTGGGAGGAAGTGGAGACATGTTGTCCATCTCTGAACACACTCTATGAGTTCAACATTAAAAAGTGCTGAGTAATATTTAAATAAATGCCCTGGATGAATGGCCTCATTTTGCTTTGCTGTACATCAGTAGTAGTGGTGCCAAGCCTTACCCTGCTTCAGGCAAACACAATTTAAATTAGAAATGTAATCAGTGTTGCGTCACTTGTAGACGGTTAGGGGATTATAATAGTGCTGTCTCCAAAGTCCCAGAAGGGAAGAGTAGTGATTGAATAATTAGAAATAATAACAGCATTTTAAACCTTTTGTTTTCTCACCTTTTGATCCTCTGCTGCAGCTGTGTTTGCTGATAAAGCCACCGTACCTCATTCCTCTCTCCGGAGTTGTCACATTAGTAATAAAACATCTTGCTCCGTCACCTTGCTTTGTGCTCAGCCTTTGCTGACTGACTCGGTTTTGTTCTTTGTGACTGATGCAAATTGATTTGGGGTTTTGTTTTTTGCAGGTCTTCATGATACTTTGTTGTACTGCTCGCTCCACGACCCTGCCGCCCCCTGTCCAACAGGTTATACTACCAACAAAGTGAGATTTAACTTTTGCTTTCAAGAACAAATCAACATAATGGGATTCCACTCATTTGTTGTGCCAATTATTCCTCTGTCTCGTCTCAGTCTGTGCCTGCAGCGTTGCACTTAAAAAACTCCCGTTCTGCTATAACTGAAGCATCACCAAAGCTATTGCTTTCACATATGTGTGTTTGCTTGTGAAAATATCCTCTGATGATAGACGGTGTCAGTGTGGGGCAGCGGTGGGCGGATAGAGCTAACTGTGGCCAAGTTCATGGCTCTGCAGAAGATTGTGCAGCCAGACTGGTACCAGAGCATGGCCGACGGAGAGACGTGTCAGAACAACACGTCAAGGAAACGAGTTCGAAAGTCTGTTGATCGTACTCTCGCTCACTTGGACGAGTGTCTGCTGGTGCACCAAACCTCACAGGTACACACACACACTGTTGCTCTTGTTCTTGTCTTAAATTACTTTGGAAACTGGGTTTGCTATAATATACATAATGATATATTGCAATACTGTAAAAAATTTGCAATGAAGCGATGGCACAAAACATTGAAAACTATGAGAAGTAAAGTAAATCTAATAGGAAGCACTTTTTCCTCCTTTATCCTTAATAGGGATTAAGAGAGATGCTGTATTTTTAATTGTATCGCTCTTCTTCTATTTAATCCACAGCTTCAATCATTTTTCATTTTAGATTGCAAATGTCAGTTTTGTGTCTTTTTTTGTTTTGTTTTGTGTCTGTGCTTGTCACAGCTGGAGCCAAATGCATTATCTTCTCAGGTTGTTTATCTGTCCGTCTGTCCCACTTTTCATGAACACAGTAAAAGCTGTGTGGGTAGTCCTTCAAATTTGGTACAAAGGTTCAACTGGATGAACTGATTAAATCGTTGTGTTTCAATGTCAGGGCGACCTGGATTTGTAAATAAGATATCTCACTTCAAATTTGGAACAAATGATCAGTTGGACTCAAAGACGACGCATTTCAGTTTTTTGTGGTCAAGTGAGTCATGCTCAAGTTCACAAATCAAGGTCACTGTGACTTGTTTAAAATTTTTCACGGCATATCTGGACAGACATGGATGTAAACTGCAACTTGAAGCAGACAACAGACAGGTGGTTATTCTAGTTTGATGTGTTTTTATGTGAATCTGTTTTTCTTTTTGCTCCATTTACGTGTTCAATTTCAAAATGTGTCTCTGCAAACCTCATCATGCACCGTGTGTGGTTAGAAAATGGAGCTGTAATCTGTTCAAAATCTTTGTTGGGTCTCGGCAGTAATCTCCTCCTTTGTCCTTCTAATTTCTTCTCTTCCTTCTATCTAGCGGGATCTTTCTGTCTGATGTTTAATCACCAACCTGTCTGTCATTGTCAGGAGTTGGAGGGGGTGGAGGTGTTCGGTGTGGTGGAGGGAGGAGACATCCTTGATGAGAGGGTGCGCTCGGCCAGGGAGACGGCCAAGAGGCCCGTGGCTGGATTCTGTCTGGACAGCCTCCGGACCGGCTCCATGGACCCGGCCCTGAGGACCCAGCTCATCACTGCTGTGACCAAAGAGCTGCCTGAGGACAAACCCAGGTCAGCACTTCTAGTGACTGCATGAGAAATATGTGTATTGATTTAAGCGATTCTCTTCCCACCAATCATACACTCTTCCCCGGTGTGATATTGAAAGTATTCAGCGAGGATGGGCAATCAACTAGAACCAAACAAAAAAAGAATCGAGGGTGAGTAAACAAACAAACTGTACCCTCTGTT